TAAAATTTTTTATCTCTTTATAAATTTATAACTGATAAAAAGAGAGGTTTTAACATTTTTGACAAAAATTTCTAAAGTCATAGAGCACTATAATTTTTTCAACTGGTTATTAAAAATGCTTTGCTCAGCTCAATTTGCATGGTTATTTTTAAAGACCCACACTACTGTGCAATGCAAGCACTTCTCATAAAAGAAAAGATTCAGAAAACCTACGTGACATAACTAAGAAGGTAAAGCTGATGAACACATATCAGACTCAATACCCTAATAATAGAGAACATTTGTTTTCATGTGAATATGGAACTTTCATAAAAATTGTATTGGGGGCCTCAAAGAAAAGCTTCAGTAAATTCAAAAAAAAAAACAACAGAAAAAGTTCTTTGAACATCACAGAATAAAATAAGAAATCAGTTACAACATCAGAAAAATAGGCTCTCCTCTTGGAATTGTAAAATGTTTATTTTAACAATTCTCCATCCAAAGGAAAATACAGAGCAAAAACAGAAACGACAGGATACAGTGCAAGCCTTGCTCAAAGTAATGTTTATAGCTATGAATTTTTATCAGTAAAAATTAAAGTGTGGAAATATAAACTGAGCATTCGACTCTAAAAAAAAAATAAATGTCAAAGAATGAAAGCAGAAAAACAGCATTTAAAAACAACTTTTAATGAATTAGAAAATGTAAAAAATACATGAGCAAGCTAATTTATTAAACAATTAATAGTAAGTAAATAAACTAGTCTCACCACAAAATAAAAATGCACAAATATATAGAATAAGAAATAACAAGGAGTAATAATCACACAAAGAAATAAAAAATTATGAGTTAAAAAAACATATGAACTTGGATAAAAGGGATAAATTTTTAGGAAAATATAATTTACAAACTGACTCAGAAGAAGATACAACAGAAACACATTTCCACAAAGAAATATAATTGTCAAAGAAGTAATCTTCCAAGAGCATCACATCCATTTTCATTAAGAAATTCTGCCATCCATCAGTGAGTAATTAATTCCAATATTATTGAATTTTTCCAGGACATAGAAAATGTAGAAAACTTTCTAATACTTTAAGAAGTGAATGTAATATTGATAGCGAAACTGGGAAAAGATATGAAAACTATAGATAAATATTTCTTATGAATATCAATAAAAACAATTCAAAATAAAGTATCAGAGAATAGAAATCAGCAGTTCACAAAAGAAGTGACACAACGTGAACAAGCGTTCTTTCCAGAGTAAAAGGATGTTTTAATATTAAGAAACCCATTAATGCAATATATTATACGATCATCTTTGTAGATGCTACAATAACATTCAATAAAACTTAATCCATTTTTCAATTGTATGAACTATCACTTACTAAATAGGAATTGAAGGACACTTATTTAACAGTTTCAAGTGTGTAAGTGTATAATTAGCCTTAAGGCTAGTATCTTACTTACTGAAGGAATTCCTATTAAGTTAGAAAAACACAAGGATATTAGCTAAAACGAATTACTGTAACCAATGTTTCAGCACTATTAACATTGTATTAGAGTTATAAGTCAATGCAATTAGGTAAGAAAAAGATATTAGAACTATAGAAGTTGGGAAGGAAGAGACAAAATTATTACTATTACTTTCAAAAAATAACTAATAAGAAATGCAAGATAATTAATCAAAAACAAAAGAATTCAGTAAGGTGGGGGATGCTAAAATTAATCTTGAGAAATATATAGCTTTTGTATTTATAAAAGCCACCGAATAAAAAATATAGTGAATCAGAAAACCACATATATAATGCCAACAAAAAATGCCTAGTAATTAACTTTATCATAAATATGTAAAACTTACATGAGAAAATATTTAAAACATCCCTAAAATACATAAGGATTCTCTTAAATTAAAAAAAAAACCCACAGCTAAGATTCAATATTATAAAGATTTCAGTTCTTCTTAAGTTAATTCATATATTTAATGTGATAATAAAATACCAACTTTTCTGAAAATAGACAAGATGATTCTAAATTTCATGTAAAAAATAAAACTTTCAGAATAATTAAAATGCTTAATATACAGAATTACAAAGTAAAACAAATATAGGCAGTTTACTCAGTAATATTCTCAGTGGTCTTGCCTTCCACCCTAGATATCTTTCTGTCTATACCTTTCCAAACTGGGTCCTTCCAAGGAAGGTCAATTTGCTGCTAAGAAAATTAAGATTTTGATCATGTGTTTATTTAACTGTTATCCTCCTTGGCCAGAACCCCCTGCTTTCCTGATCACTACCTTCCTCATCCTCAGACTCACCGATTGCTTCCCATCAGGCCCTCTGCTTTCTACCATTAACCATAAATTTATAAAGGTACAGAAAACAACTACTTTTTCCTATCTTCCTCTGAACTTGTGCTTCTTTTCCCCAAATATCTTTCCAGATGGTCTATGTACCTGTGCCGCTAGAAAGGTGCACCTATTTGATCTCTATTTAAGGAAGAACTTTCCTTTCAGCTGCAGGGAGAGCAGTCAGCTGATAGCCTGCAGCTGTCCCTGCCTTTAGACTCCATCTTGGAATTCAAGCAGAGGCCACACTCTTCCCAGAAAGTCCCCAACTTCATTGGCTGGGCTACAAGGACCTGGCCATTTCTGTCCAACACGGAATTCCTCTAATGGCTGTTTTGTGCTCCAGGGCACCCTGTTGTGTTGGCCAAGACTTCGTCAAACCTGCACTGCACTCTGAGGCCCTTCTTGACCAAACTTCTTCCTTCCCTCCTTTCCTTTCCCAGGAGTAAGCCCCAAGTAAACCTCTTGCTCTAAACTCCATCTCAGTCAACTTCCTGATGGACCCAACTGACCTTGGGTGGAACTGCTCCAGCCAATTAAGGGTACCCTGGAAATCTTTTTTTAAGTAAACTCAACTATTAAATCTCTAAGCTATTGCATCCAGAGAGAAATTAAACCACTCTCAATCCTCCCAAAGTTGACTGAACATGATTGCAATGTAGTAAGCTTGGAGCCAAGAGAGCTGGAGACTAATTTACTTAACAGTCAAAAAATAAGTTTCAATTGAAAACAAAGTTAGAGGCCTAAAAGCACAATCATCTGGAATCTGTTAGTGGAGGGGCAAATCCTAAAATGCTCATGGACTGGTTTATGCCTAAAGACTAACTTTAAGGGATGAGGGCACAAAACGATGTGTGTTCATACTGATGACTCTGAATCATCGAGAAAATTTCAATTAATTGAATTCCTCTTTATGGATACCAAAACGCATAAGGTATTTTTGGGAAGTTTTTTTTTTCCTCCAAAATGTTAAAAATTTTAAAAGCTGTAATAGTTGCAGGACCACATTCCACCAACGGAATTTGAACTACTGTAGACACATTCACCACAAATCCTTGACAAGTGAGATGTTGTTGTAACACATCTTTTCAATCGCATCTTAAAATGTGCATCATCTAGGCTATAGTGGAATAAGTGATCTGAAAATCTAAAAACAATGTTAAGACTGGTGAGCATTCTTTAGCGGCCTACATGAAATAAAATCTGTGATTAAAAATTACTTTTGGCATTTATTTTTATGGCAGCAAAGAATGGTTTTCTGAGATAAGTGAAAGAAAGTGTGGGTGAAAATAAACTGAGCACGCCTTCCTGACATTTGAACAAGTCAGGGGGCCGAGGAAAGCAAACTAGAGCATTAAGTATTCGTTTCTTATTACAGCTCTACTTAGTAAGCCATTAAGTCTGTTCATGATATGCTTCCCTGATGGTAGTTCCAGAGTGAAAGAAATGAAACCACTAGGTTTCTTGAGCGCTGAGGGTATAGTTTTGTGAATACTCAGTAATTAAATAATATAATTTTTACATTTTCAAATACTTTGGTGGAAATTGCATATATAAAATCTCTAGTTTAACAAAAACTCTAAACTTGGCCCTTATAGGGAAGATGTGTGTGTGTGTGTGTGTGTGTGTGTGTGGTGTGCAATGATCTGGTTTAAGATTATGCTTTCACTGCATATGCAGTGATGTGCTGAAGCAACCAACAGAGGCTCAAGAGTTTTAATTCGATTCATATCAGCCAACGCCTAATTTCTTGTGTCAAGCTCAGTGGCAGAAACTTGGGATGCAAAGATTAAAACCTCTTGCTGTTCTCAAGCAATCTATAAGTACAACGCCTAATTTCTTGTGTCAAGCTCAGTGGCAGAAACTTGGGATGCAAAGATTAAAACCTCTTGCTGTTCTCAAGCAATCTATAAGTAACAGAAGAGACACATGTAAATAAATTAAGAACATGTAACATGTGGTATAAACCATGGAACAGTATAAATGTAGTCAAGATACAGAGACAGTTTCTTTGCTGAGGTGTGAGGACAAAAGGAGTCTGGCTGGGAAGATCTAACAGAGGAGGGACGCTGGGGATGAGTCTTAGCGAGTGATCGGGGATTGGCCGGGTGAACAAGCGTAGAACACATTCTAGTCTGGGGACCCCAAAATATAGACATAAAAAGACATGGTACATTTGGAGAACCGCAAATACTAGTCTGACTGGACAGTAACTTGGAAAGGAGGTGGTTATGAAAAAATCTGGAACAGTGGGCAGGGCCTGCATCATGGAGGAATCTGTATGACCTGCACGGGAAACACATGAAGAACTGAATTTTTAAAATACTGTTATTCTAATTCTAAAGATACCTGGTCAGGGGTCTGTATGGCGCAGTCAGTTAGGCATGACTCTTGGTTTCAGCTCAGGTCACGATCTCAGGTTCATGAGATCAAGCCTTTCAGGCTCTGCGCTCAGCGCTGAGTCTGCTCGAGACTCTCTCGCTCTCCCTTTGCCTCTCCCCACCCCTCATTCTCTCTCTCTCTTAAATAAATTTTAAAAAATAATGATACTTTCTCACTTTTGTCCAGTAGAAAGTATGATTAATATTTTACACTATTTAAAAAAAATCTTTGCTAATCTGACAGGTAGCGTTTTAATTTTTATTTTTCTAATTAGAAATATTCCTAGATTCCAGCACCATGGCTGGAGCGCCCACAATCTCGCTCCCTGAACTGCGTTCGCTCCTGGCCTCCAGCCAGGCCCGGCCCGTCGATGTGAGATCTCGGGAGGAGGCGGCAGTGGGGACCATCCTGGGGGCGCTCAACATCCTGGTGTCTGAGCTGGAAAGTGCCCTGCAGATGGAGCCCGCTGCTATGCAGGCTTTGTACTCCGCCGAGAAGCGGAAGCTGGAAGAGGAGAACCTCATTTTCTTCTGTCAAATGGGCAGGTGGGGCTTGCAGGCCACACAGCTGGCCCAAGGCCTTGGATACACGGGGGCTCGCAACTTCGCAGGAGCCTAGAGAGAATGGTCCCAGAAAGAAGGTTAGGTAGAAGGTGGCTAACTTATTGTCCCCTCTCCCTCGGCCCCATGGCCGCCTTAACTAAGGGTGGTGAAGGGGCTGACTGCTCAGGTTGGGGCAGCTCCTTATAGTGCTGTGCATGCAAAAGCATCAAATAAAGAGCATTTAATAAAAAAAAAAAAAAAAATTCCTAAACTTAAAAAAAAAGTTTGTTAGTTAAAAGTATTTTCTACTTAGAGAAGTGTTTCTTCATATTGTCTGGTCATTTTATGTCTACATTTAGTGATTTTCTTGTTATTTCTAGGGGTCCTTTACATATTAACAATTTAACACTGAGTGTCTGAAAATAGGTTCCTCCTTTTTTATTTGACCTTTATTTTTATGCAGAAAATTTTAAAGATTTTTGTAGTGAAATTTATTGTCCTTTCTATTGTTTTTTCAATAGTACCTGCTCTCATCCTGCCCCCCAATTTCTCATTTTCTCCCCATACATTCCTAATGATGAAGTGATTAACTCCCCAGTTCTCTGTCCAGGTTTTTATACTTCACATCTCATCCCCCAGGCTTGATCAATTTTGCAATGATCAGCTGGTTTTCCTATCCTCATACAGGTATCAGGTGCTTAGGACCCAATGTGCTTTTAGTTCATTCTTTCACACAAATGTATATATGTTGGCAAATGACTGAAGCGTCACTTGTTTTGAACAGGTAACAACGTTCAGGCATCTCCTGACATTAGCTATGTATTTAACAAGACCTCAGGGGAATGCCTACCAGATACCACCATCTGTTATTTTTAGGGCAATTGGGTTTATTGCCTATGTTCCTGAAGACACATTCAGCCAGGCAGTTAGGAAACAAGTGTTTATTGGGTGCCTACAGGGTGCAATGTACTAGTTGCTTGCCAGTTGCTTTTTTAGCACAATAAAGGCTCTGGAAAGGGAGAAGTTCTTCAGAATTGACAAGAATTGATAGAAGCAACAAAAGTTAAAAATACACATCAGCAATATGACAGGGTTAAAACTAACAAACCCAAAAGCTAAATGTATCGTGAGAGTAAAGCACGCATCTTTGTCTGCGAAGCATCGCTTCAGTTCACATCTCTACCATCTTTGCTAAAGTTTATTGCTGAAACCTGAAGGAAAAGAATTGGCATGAGTTCACAAAAAATAAAATTATGTGAACTTGACTCTCTTTTTAACCAAGCGACCCATTTCCCAGTTTACACATTTTTCTCAAAAAGTTCCTTCTTTCATCAACTAGCAAGTCCTCTTCTCCTGCCCTGTATCCAACCTGACTCCAGTTAACGAGATTCTTACCATTAAACAATCTCCCAAAGGACCCTCTTCGCCCCTCCCTAGCTTCTCACCAGTCCGCTTTCCTCTGGTTCCCAGCAACCATAGATACGTTGCTTATAACTGTGAATCTCCCCATCTTCACACCATTTGTTATAGGTTGTCCCACAAATGTTTTCTACAAATTTTACAGATAACTTTTTCTTCAGGCTGATCTACTGCTTAAGAATTTAAAATAATCCTCCACAGCTTTTCAAATCAGGGATTGTGGTGTTGGTGAAAAACTGTCAAAGTTCGAGAAAAGTCTTCTAGGTTCCAAGTCATCATGCCTACCCCTCAGGAGGCTGCTACATTAGGGTAGCGCAAGTACTATAGCCAGGGTTAGGTCAGGCGTAAACACACATGAAAATAACATGAATGCAACACATTACTATTCCATACACACATGTTCATGCATAGATTTACTTTGACAAACAAATACATATCTAAGCAATAAGGTATCTGCATGAGATAGTTCTGAATAGTGTAATTATTTATTTAAATTTATTTAAATTTAGAAGGAGCAAAATAAATAAAGGAACTGTTGATCTGAGAATGAATGTGTTAGGTCTAAAATACATAACGGATCACAAATAACATTTACTGGTCAGTAAGCACCGACCAGAGAAATGTTTGATTTCTTACTCTAATTGTTATAATACAGTGTACCAGCTTGGAATGCAAATACAGACACAGGTCTAATATTGGTCTAAATAATTACTTGAATGCCACACACCGTAAACGCAGGAAGTCCAGCGCCTTCTCCTTAAGGTCTTCTCTTTCCACCCCAGATGTCTGACCCTCAGCAACTTACACCCCAAATATTTAACTTCTTTCACTTGTCCTTTAGAAAGACAATTAGAATCTAGGTCCACCAATTTCCTGCTTCTTTTCACAGCATTACTTTTGAAGTGATGTTGCAGATTTACAAGACGTTTGTGAATTGTGCCTGGGAAGACCTTAATGGGCTCAGGTGACAATGACATTTTATATTGTGTGATTCAGGTCTTTTTAAGTTTCCATGTTCAGCCATTGTAGTCAAGCCTAATCACTGCCAGAGTGACTGGGCCCAAAGAATCTTCTATCAAATGCATTTGCATGCTAAGACAATTTCTTCCTGTATTCATTCCATCAACAAATGTTTATCAACTGTCTATTTTGTATGTGATGTGTTCGCTGTATTATTTAAGAATAATACATTCTGCTAAGGAAAATCAGAGACACAGATCTGCAAGGAGGACAGAAAAAAAAAAACTAAATAAAGAAGCAGCTTTTAAGAATTGTTAGACATAGGTAAAGAAGAGCACATATGTACTGATTATTCATTAAAAGGATGTAAAACCAAGCAGCCCGCTAGATAAATATACTTGAACCACCCAATACTCATAAACAATCAAACATTCATACAGAATTAAGTTGCCCGCCCATTTCTGGCATCCATTGTTTTGCTCTTTTGTTCTCCACCTGATATATGGAGATAAAATCCATTGCTGCTCATCAGGTCATCAGGTGATTTACAGCTGTGTTTAGGCACATCAACTTACTTTTCTGATAAAGCAAACTCCAGGTATCTCCCACCTGCTTTCATCTCCCTCAACTCCAGTTCTCATAACCACACCATCAGACTGATGCAGCACAGATAGAGACAGACAAGACATATGCAGATAATGAACACTTGGGGCGCCTGGGTGGCTCAGTTGGTTAAAGTCTGCCTTCGGCTCAGGTCATGATCCCATGGTCCTGGGATCCAGCCCGGCAGGCTCCCTGCTCAGCAGGGACCCTGATTCTCCCTCTCCAACCTGTTCATGATCTCTTGCTATCTCTGTCGCTCTTTCTCTCTCTCAAATAAATAAATAAAATCTTTTAAAAAAGATAATGAACACAGGAGATCATCTGTCTTATTGTGTACTTGGAGGCTACCACTGGACTGAGGTAACTCCCCATATCAACAATACACAAGGCGCTTCTCAGGTGCTGGAGGGATAGCAATTAACAAAACCAACAGACACCTCTGGCTGAGAGGAGTTTGCATTCTAGTGGTGACAGAATTAGCACTTGTGCATGACCATGAGCAATCAGTCCTCATCACGAGTGGAATATCCACTCTAGATTTTTTTTTTAACTTAAGGGATTTTTATTTCAGGGGCCTTTTTGATGTTCTCTTCCACTAGGACTTGTTGGGACCATTCTGATTCATTCTAATTGTTCTCACTAATTTTTATTCTCAAGGGACTGGGTCAGTGATTTAGTTCCTTCTATGCGTCATTCTGAGGTAAATCAATTCACCAACTCCCTGATTTGGATTGTGGGGTTTAGAGATTTTGGTTAATCCCTAGTCTATTACATCCTTACTCCCAGTTTAGACAATGAATGACCCTCACTTTACAATTACATAGGAGGGAGGGAGGGCATTCAAATAGCTATTCTCTAAGCAAAGAAGACTTGTCCAAAGGTTACCTGTGAACTCACTGGGAGGCCCAGAGGAGGCAGAATGACTTTTAACTCCTTCCTCTGTAGCCTCCTTATACTTTATATGTATCTGAACAGGGATCCTGTTCCATACTATTATTTTCCACTTAAGGAAGTGAAAGCAACTAAACAAATTGTAATTAACTCCTCATCCCTTTTGACTAGGTATTCCGGTAAATAAGAGAAAATTGCCCCACCTTAGTCTCTTAAAATAAAAGCCTCAGGGCATATTGGTCAGCCAGGAGCTGGGTAATTTCTGTTGTACAGAAGGCTCATGGGGGAGCTCTGTTGCAGCGAGGCAGGAGCTATTGGAATATGGGTATAGGGCTGCCTAGGTGGCTCAGTTGGTTGAGCGTCTGACTCTTGGTTTGACTCAGGTCATGATCTCAGGGTTGTGAGATTGAGCCCCAGGTTGGGCTTCTTGCTCAGCATGGGGTCTGCTTGAGATTCTCTCCCTCTCCCTCTGCCCCTTCCCCCTCTCACTCTCACACACTCTCTCAAATAAATAAATAAAATCTTTAAAAAAAAAAAAAGAATATGAGTTTACTTTGCTTAGATGATGCCATGAGACCCAACTCAACTTGCCTTGACTGTAGTGTAAGAACAATCCAATAAACAGAAGGAGGTTCTACACAGCCATATTTGTGTTCAGGAAGAATCATTAACACCACCCCATCCTCACAGCTACCCCAGCCTGTTTTGCTGTGACGTGCAGCCTGGGTTGGAATACTAGTGGATGACAGCGATTGGCACCATTTGTAGTATCTCTCATTCATTTTGTCTACTGCACTCAAATACACCTCTTTCCCATTTACAGTGAAACTTGTGAGTGGGCAAAAAAATGTGCAAAAAGCTACCATAAATTATTCAGGATGACGCAAAAGCCATTTAGCAGAAATACTCTAGAATACTAAAAGGATTAAAAGAAATGTTTCTTCAAGTACTAATTAATGAACTTCTCATTAACTTCTTTTAGATTTCTGAATGTTTAAGTAATTAATCTTTAAAAAAAAACTTTCTCTCTCCATTGAAAGGCCTCTGTCCCTTTTCATAGCTTATTTATTACAGTTTATATTAAGCTTCTATTTAAAATTTCATGGTAATTACATCCTCAACCCTGTCCTGCTACTTATTTCTAGAACTGTGCAAGGCAAGGATGCCCACTCTCACCACTTCTATTCAATATTGTACTGGAAGTCTTAGTTATTGTACTGAGGCAAGAAAAACATTAACAAAAAGATGTAAAGGAAGAATTAAATCTGTCATGATTGTGTACATAGAATACAGCACCAGAACTAATAAGTGAATTTAGCAAGATTTCAAGATACATGGGAATACAGAAAAATCAATTGCATTTTAGT